CTAAATTTTCCCTCCAGACTTCTTGGTGTAGGACTGTTCCTGATCCTTTCTCCTGCGTGGTATTGATGTAAGTGTGTGCTGATATTTCTCTTGCAGTGTGGAGTCTCTAAGTGATACCTCTTCAGCAGTTCCAGCTGGGAGGAAAATTCAGTCTAAATGAAGCTGAGCTTAAAACCCATAAAAAGAAATCGTACCACATTACGGTTTATAAATAGTTTTTATGCCATATTCTTTCCATGCTCCTCTTTTCCATTTCTTCACAAAACTGGTGGAATAGTAATACCGAGTAGCACATTGTTTAAAGATAGTTGTCTAAAAATCACAGATTTACTTGGGTGGTTTTCACCTTTTTCTTCTCGGGAAACAGTGAGTCCACATTTGGGATTGGTACCATGTGTTCCTCGGCAGATTTTGCACTAAAACAAATTCTGAATCTTTTAGCTCTTAACTGATTTTGCCTATACCAACAGGTAAAGCTGTCACTTTTGCTCCTAATGGTCCTGGTTGTGCAGTGTTTTTCTGAGCTAGTGCTGCCTCTTTTATCCTTGAGGAAGCACTATTTAAAATAATCTATTAAAAGTTTAAGGTGGAACATGCCCATTGTATAAGCAAATCAAAACTGAATTGTCCGTGTAACTAGGCATGCATTTCCAGCCAGCCCATCTTCTCATTAGGCTGGGTGCTCTGGGAGAATGCACCAGGACCGTTTAATATAGGCTGCGGCCATAAAAAGAGGAATTGAAGCCATTTCTGGCATGCATCTGTGAATTTGTCACCCAATGCTAGCTGCCAGTTAACAATTAGTTAGAAAAGAGAACTGGAGTGAAGCGGATAATTCTGAAGGATTTAAAACTATTTTTGAGAAGAAAATAAATTATGCATGCAAACGCAGTGTGCGTTGTAACTTTCAGCACAGATTCTCAGTAATCCTGCGTAGCACATTAATGCAGCGTATTTTCCACCATCTTTCTAAGCCCGTATACTGTGTACACACCTATTTTTGTTAAAAGTAAGCTGACGACGTTGCGCTGGGAGCTTTTATAGGATGGGTTTCTCATTGTGAAAGTTAATAATATTGTACTGAGATGGAAAAGAATTCGGAACCACATGCAGTGGTTTGCAGATGTGTGGCACTGGCATTGAGCTCTGTGGTATGTTTCAGGGATAAAATAGAGATGGTGCTCTTGGAAGAACTTAAAGAATTAATATTGGGCACAGTTTTTCTTTCTTTTTTTCTTTTTTTTAAAGGCAATGAAGAATGTAAGTTATATGTGCATGTATTTCAACTTTATTCTTTGTTGCATCCAAACTTGTGATTCCGAAAGACTGACACATGTATATGGTTTTGATCCTTGTGTTTACATCTTAGTAGTTGCTTTTGGGCAAGCGTCAAAGCTTGGCTTCCTAATCAACACCGCAAATGATTATTCATCATTTGAACTCATTTTAAATCAAAACCACCTTTAAAAGGTCATGCTGTAGTTTAAAACAACTACTTGTCTTGCGTTATGTGGAAAGACAAAGTAGGTGAGCATAATGTTTGTGATTTTTTTAGTAGGTATGCTGAAATGGAATTATAATACTGACCGAGTTTATGTTTTTGTGAAGTCAGCTGGAATCCTTTTGAACATACCCTCTCATGGTGCACAGTTGTGATACACTTTTAGAATACCGTTATGAACATATCTGTAGGATGTACTGCCTGGCTTGACACAGACAAAAGTATTAGTAAAAGCACAGCTAGGTCAAAATGTGCCTCTAAAAAGTTTAAAGGAATGTGATATTAAAATCAGTATTATTAAAAAAAAATCAGTATTATTTTAATACGTGAGGAATGATTCCCATAGGACAAGGGTAATGCTGTGCTATTCAGACTATTCTCTAGGTTTCATCGTTTCTTTATTTACAGTTCTCTTAATTGCTATCTTTTGCCCTGTGATACATTTAACAGGTGTAACTTTTAATTGTCTCTTGAAAGCAGCACAATGTAATTAATAGCTAATTCAATTTTGTTTGCTCTAGTGTATTTCCACACACACAGACTGTTTTATGCTAGGATAGCTGCACAGCACATGGGTTTGTTATGGTGCTTGAAAGGCAGAAGGACGATTTGGAATGAAAAGCATGCTCTTTTAGAATGTAAGTATGCTTTCACAAACCGCTAACTAAGCATGAGTCACGTAATCAAAAGCAAGAGTTAAAGGAAAAGTCAGGGCTCTTCATCGGGCTGCCTGGAGCACTGGTGCTTAGTGAGTCTGCATGCTTTTGCCACTGAACTTTTTTAAAGCTATGTCTGGTTTAAGGACAGTTGGATTAGTTTTAATGGCAGCCACATGATCCTGTCTGTGGGCACCTCTATAATTTTTTGCTTTTCATACCATTCCTAAGACCTTTTTTCATGTTTCCATTTTCCTTTTTTGTTCATTTTAGAGCTTTTTTTAATCATATGTGGTCAGTTAGTAAATAGCATCCTTACACAGCATTAATCCTAAATACTGTTTTTTCAAGCAGGTGCTATGTGTAATTCTCGACAAATGTTAATTATCACCATTCATTACGCTTCACAGCAATTCCCTGAAGAAAATTCACTTCTTGATAGATAGTTTATTCCAGGGTGTTTTATTTATATTGTTGGAGGCATGGAAGGTTGGTGGGATATGTCGCTCCAAATGGTGTGTGTGAAGTGAGTTCCATTTGTCCTAGGAGCTACGGCATAATCCTGACAACCCTCTCCTGAACAAAAATGTTCTATAATGTAAAATTCAGAAAATTCATGAGATCATAGGTAGTAATGTTTTAAGGGAAATTGTAGCAGTTTAAGAATTTGTTTAATACTTACTAAATACATGAATAACATTTGCAGCTAGTTCTGAAGTTAAAACTTCAGGGGTGTTAAGTGTAGTTGTTCACTAACAGCACAAAGGGCTGCACAATACTTGCAAACGTGCATGCCCAACTTTCTTTCCTGATCCACCACAACACAGAAAAGCAACCTGAAGAGACACCTTTGTTCTATAGGCAGAGAAGAAAGTGGGTGGAAGAAAATACCAAAGACTTGGGCAAAAGAAAAGGAGCTGGTAGAGAGCTGTGAAGTAACTGCTGTGTTCCTCATCCCATGCTCTCAGCTGCATCTCCCTGCTCTGATCAATGTCTTTCTTTAAAAAAGATTTTAGAGAAATTTAGTCCATTTAGTCCAGCTGACAATCCAATATTTTAACAGAGTCTTGGAAGACTTCAAAGGATAAATAAGTGATGCAATGAGAGAGATGCTGCTTTGTGCACTGCAGAATCTGCTTGCATCAGTCCTGTTTTCTTATGAAAAAAAAAGGGGGGGGGGAAGGATTTGGAAAATGGCAATATTCAGATTCATTTTCAGATAAGAGAAATGAGAAATAGGTTGCTTCCTTGCTCAGAGCTACTAAGTCAACTTCTGGACAGGCTGTTTATGTCAGAGCTTTCCCTTGCTTCCTTGCAGGGCCATGCCCATCCCTACAACTATCACAGGCTTTCTTTCTTTTCAGACATGAAGCTTGAGTTCCTTTCACATCTCTGTTTTTAGCAGGGTGCTTTGGTGTGAGTCTCCTGTCTTGGATGGTAACTTCTGTTGTTTCTAGATGATTCCCAAAGAAGGTGTGGAAGCACTGCTTCTATTCAGCTTGAAGGAAGAGTGCTTCGTCCTCCTGGACAGCACCATCTGTGGGATTTATGCTGCATGCAAAATACCTGCCTATTAGATTCTGCCACTATAACTACTCTTTCTCACTTCCTTTTCTTTAGATGCAAATGAAATTGTGAAGCGCGTTTTGTTTAGAACTGTGCCAGCATCCCTGATGTGTCTTTCCCAAGTGAAAACTTTTTCTGTACAGCTTTTTAACATGCTGCTTCTGATGAACCGTTCCAGTAATCTTGTAAACTTCTGGCTGCAATCGTGTAGTCTCACCAGGACTAGCTGATTTGTGCTTTAATTTTCACTCGCCTCCAAATGCATGTAAAATCCCATACAGGTTGGTGCAGCCACTCCGCTGCAGTTTGCCCCGGGAGCAGCAGCGGGTGCTGCAGCCGCTGGCAGCTCGCACCAGGCCCTTTGTTTCCGTAGCCGAGGAACTCTGGTCATAAAGAAAGAATTGAGATGTCCTTACTCTTCAATCACTTTGTCCCTTTCATTACAATTCAGGCAACAAGCATTCTACCTGCATTGAAAACCAACCAGCAGAGGTTGCCATTGATTTTTCTGTTCCCTCTTACCTGCTGAGCAGCTCTCGGCCTTCTTGTACAAGACCTGCAGTATTTGGGTGATGTGAGGGTTTGTTGTCAGAGGTCGGGCCTGTGCGTGCACTACCAGGTGCTGTGGTATTGTCCATCACCCGGGGGTGACCCCACGAAGGTGACTCGGTTGCAGTGTTGGCTGTAACGGGGGAGTCTCAGGAGTTAGCACTGCTCAAATCCATATCCAGCACAAGGGACTGGGATTGTCATGTCTGCGGTCTGCTTAGTTTTAGGCTTTGCCGTTGCTCATCTGCCTTGGTGTCGGTCCCTTTCTAACGCGCCCTTTGTTTCTCTAGTGCTAACCCCAGCCTGGCCCGAGGAGGGGAGGGAGAAGCCCTGCTTGTGCCCTCGGTGTGTGCGGTGCTTTGTTCTGCTGCTGCACAGGAGGATGGAGAACTGCTCCCTGCTCCACCTCTGCTCCCGACAGGTCTTGCTTAGAGCCCTACATGCAGACTGTAAACGTAGTCCGCAAATTTGTCCTAGCTGTTCACCATTTTGAGGTACCGGAGTGCTTTTTGTCTTCTCTTCAGTCCTTCGACGGCGGGCTCTGCACTTGCAGCGGGTGTTCCTGCGACCCCTTCCCCACAGCTCCGCCCGCTTTCGGGGCGCCCTGCCGGGAGCCCGAGGACCACGTCCCGCACCCCGCCGCCGTTCCCCCGCCGCGCTGCGGGGGGCGCCCAGCCGCGGCCATCGGCTCCTCGGCTGGGAGGAGGAGGAGGAGGTGGTGGAGGAGGAGGAGGAGGAGCAGGAGCAGGAGCTCGGGTGCCCGGGGGGGGAGCAGGAGGGGAGCGGCGGCAGCGGCCCCGGCCGCCCGGCGGGGAGCGCAGCGCCCTGCCCAGCCGCACGGCGCAGGGCGAGGAGGATGCGCTCGGGGGGGGCTCGTCCTGCTGCCCGCACACGGGGCCGGGGAGCGGCGGGCTGGGACGTGCCGGCAGCCGGAGGGCTGAAGGACCGGAACCGTTGGGGGATGTGATAAAAGCCGATAAAAGCCCGAAGGACTTTGTGCGCGGCGTGGCGGTGCGCGGCGGGAGGCGAACTCCGGGAAAGCGAGCTTGCCGTCGAGCTGCTGCAAGGGAATCGAAGACGATTTTTCTTTTCTGGTAGCTGAAATTCCTCTCGAAGACCCGGCAAGGACTGCCGAAAGCTCCAGAGAGGTTCCGGTACTTTTGCAGAGACTTGAAGCAAACGCCAGCGGAATATCTCAATGACCTTGGAAATCATTTTATGTGGATTCATTAATTCTCACCGCCAGTCTTCTGGTCTCAGGAACTCCAGGATTAAAGATGGTTTTAACCTGCTAGGGGCCTTTCAAAAAGCAAGATTGTATGCTATTAATTACCTGCCTAATGATTCCTGAACTAATCAAGCATTTACTTTAAACTGAACGCAGAAGATGCTTTCTTGTAATGTTTGCTTTCTCCACAACTGCGAATAAAATGAGCAAGGTAATGTCCTGCAATTAGAAGAACAATTTTGTTTACACAATTGTTATTATGCCGATCATCTAATAAATCTAGCAATTCTAAAACTACCTAGAAGAAGCAGCAGAATAACAGAATAATGGAGTAGTAAACAATGGCAGCTTTTCTAGTCAAATCAGCATTTCATTAGCCTCACAGCAGAATGCAGATGGAAGTTTCTGTTCGTGTAGTGTGGGGGTTTGTGAAATGATTCAGGTGTTGCTACAGAGGTGAGCAATATCATGGATATAGCTATAAACTCCTGTGTGCCGACCCACTCTAGCAGATACAGCAGAGTTTCTAAAGATGATTATTTTAAATTGCCATTGCTGAAATTAAATTCAAGAGGATTTATTTTGTCTGTGGGGACCTTGAATTATGCTCCTGGCATTAATAATTGTAATGGACTATAACTGTTTAAAGGAATTATGAATATTGACACAAGTCTCCAAATTCTATTCTTAAACCCTTTGGATTTTTAAATGAGTAGACACGATCTTCCTCATTGTATGTGAGATGTATGTTTTCTTTCTTGGGAGTCAGAGGACAAATCTGCCTTGTCCCTCACCTGTCTCCCTCCAAATAAAATTCATTATTCATACCCAAACAGTGGTGAGTCTATTGGAATTAACCTTGACAAAAGTGTTTTCCTTACCTTTCTAATGAGTAGCATGGATAAGACAGAGTACCATCTCCTGAACAGAGCCAGTACAGACAGCATTAGATGATGAACTTTTTCCTTTACTCTCAAGTCACTCTGTGATTTAAATTGAGACATTAAAAAGATTGCCTCCAGCAACCGCTGGACCAGGAAACCTCAGCTGTACCAAGATTCCTCCTTCCTTTCCTTCCCCTCACCCCCCTGTATTCCAAAGTAAATGACTTTCTCAGGAAAATAAACAGAGATTTCCCTGTCATACCCTGGGAAATGAAGGTGGCTCTTATTTTTATTTCCGTATTTCACGGTACCTGTTTGTTTTAGAAGTGCCTTGTGTTTGTAAAGATTGCTCAAGAGCACTGGAGGAGCTGATCAGTGGCCTTTCTCTTTCTGGCTTTTTTTTCTTTCCTTTTTTTTTGTTTTCCTTTCCTTCTTTCCTTTCTTTTCTTTCTCTCTTTTTTTCTTTCTTTCTTTCCTTAAAGCTAAGGTGTGCCAGAGGTGATGCACTGATGCTGAGGAGGCATCAACAGCTCTGGAACTGTAGAACCCTCTCAAATGTAAGCACTGGCAGTGTCTACAGAGAGATCGTGAGACGCTGAAGCAGAGCTTAGCTGCTGTTAAGCATGTCATCTGCTCGCTAACACTCAGAGCGCAGTGTTCCCTAATCACAAAACATGAACCAGTCCCGATGGATTGAATGGAGGACTCTGAATCTGAGCAGTAGTGTTATGAACGTATCTGAGCACCTCTCCTGCCCTCTTGGATTTGGTCACTACAATGCAGTTGACATCTGTATCCTTGAGACGGTTGTTATTATCTTGCTAACTTTTTTAATTATTGCGGGTAACTTAACTGTGATATTTGTTTTCCACTGTGCTCCACTTCTGCACCATTATACCACCAGCTATTTTATCCAGACCATGGCCTACGCTGATCTTCTTGTTGGAGTTAGCTGCTTGGTTCCTACCTTGTCACTGCTTCACTATTCAACAGGTGTCCACGAGTCCTTGACCTGTCAAGTTTTCGGATATATCATCTCTGTGCTAAAAAGCGTGTCTATGGCGTGTCTTGCTTGCATCAGTGTGGATCGCTATCTCGCTATAACAAAGCCTCTCTCCTATAACCAACTGGTCACACCTTGTCGCTTGAGAATCTGCATCATTTTGATCTGGATATACTCTTGTCTGATCTTCTTGCCTTCCTTTTTTGGTTGGGGAAAACCTGGTTACCATGGAGATATTTTTGAATGGTGTGCTACCTCCTGGCTAACTAATGCCTATTTTACTGGCTTTATTGTGTGCTTACTGTACGCTCCCGCTGCCTTTGTCATTTGTTTCACATATTTCCACATCTTCAAAATCTGCCGGCAGCACACCAAAGAGATCAATGATCGGAGAGCTCGATTTCCTAGCCACGAAGTGGATGCTGCTGGGGAGACTGGGCACAGCCCTGACCGCCGCTATGCCATGGTATTGTTTCGGATAACCAGCGTGTTCTACATGCTGTGGCTCCCTTATATCATATACTTTCTGCTGGAGAGCTCTAGGGTGTTGGAAAACCCAGCACTTTCCTTCTTAACAACGTGGCTTGCTATAAGCAATAGTTTCTGCAACTGTGTGATCTATAGCCTCTCCAACAGTGTCTTCAGGCTGGGACTGCGGAGACTGTCAGAGACAATATGTTCATCTTGTATGTGTTTAAAAGACAGGGATGTACGGGACCCTAAACCAAGGAAACGGGCTAATTCCTGCTCCATTTAAAGAGAACTGGTGTGTGTCGTCAAACACGGAGTTTTGATAGTATTTGCTGTATCTGGGAACTTACCAGAAGAGGAATGTTTACGTGATTAGTGTGCTATGCTGTTAAAGCTGAATTTAAAAGTGCTTTTGGAAAAGAGAAAGGCTGCTCTAAGAGGGGTCACTGAACTTTGCATATAGCTCTTGTGCAATTGTGAGGAGAGCCGTTCAACAGAGGTGATGGAGAAAGTCAGAACTAAAACCTTCCAAAGGGCATGTTATACCTACCACATCAAAGGAGGTTCCTCATAAAATAAATAAGTTAGTTACTACCTTATATTTTTGCCCTTGTAGAAAAGTTGTCTTACTATCTTTGTGTCAGAATATACTGTAGCCTTCTGAATTTAAATATATTTAAGAGGCAACAATCAACTACACAGTAAGTGGCTATCTGTAAATTATATTCCTGAGGACTTACAGTAGATGTTGCAGATTAATAACCAGCTCTGTCTCTGCTCACATCTTGTACAATTTTCAGTTTTACAAACAGTCCACAACGCATAAACCCTACACCGGGCATGATGCTTTTGGATAAAATGGCACATTCTGGTACGACTTTCACAGACCCTTGCCCTCATTTCCCCTGTTATTTATTTATTTATTTATTTATTTAACTATTTAACTATTTTCCCTCCATTCTGTGCATCTCTAAATTCCATCAAGTTGCAGTGCTTCAGTTTGAGGACACCTACAAGGTAAAATGAGTTTCAAATCACTCTTCCTGGAGAAAGCAATAGCCTTTCCTGGCCAGCTGAGTATCTGCAGCTGCCCGTGTACAATGACTTTTTTAGTCTTTCATTCTCTCAGTCCTGTTAAATTAGCACACAGTATTGATGTAGTGTCCTTTAGGGTGTACTAAAGCTTTTTCTTTATTGGCTACACAGATAATCCTAATGCAAATATGATAATCACACACAGCAGTGTGCTATTCTGCTTAGAAAATTAAAAATAAATAACAACCTTTTCTTTGGGAAGTCTGAATAGCTTACTGTTGTAGCTGTCAATCCTTTGTGTGAACCTAGCTTGCACATACTATATTCTTTTTTATCAAAAATTTTTTTAGAGAAAATGTAAATTGTGGTCTGTGCCTAATGTTTTCATAGCACATGGAATAGGTCAATGCTACAGAATTAAAAAAAAAAAACTCATTTTAAGAGAACTACTTCTGTGCAGTTGTTGAAATCTATGTTTGTTGGACAAGTGCTTTTGGAGAAGGTGAACAAGACAGTCTAGTATTAAATACAGGCAAAGAGCTTCAGTATTTCCTTTTGTAGTGAACTGACTTTCAGGTCCACTGATTGAAACTTTTTTATTTTGCAAGGGCGCACGTTAGGTTTGTGTAATAAACTGCCAGGGGTTCAGATGCATGCCAATCAATAAAATATTTAAATTATTATTTTGAACCAAATGTAATTTTCTTAGATGGTTATTGGCTTTTAAATAAGGCCCAATTATTGATTATTGGTGCCTTTTAACACTGCACTATTATTCCTTCTTTCACCAAAATGCATATGTAAAGACCGTGCCTATTACTTTTTGTACCAGAAGCTAGCCACGTTTGCACACCTGTGGTTTGACTCTAGATCTCCCTTAATTATGTACTCTGTTTTGTTGAGGTGGTTCTGAACCCCTGTACATTTTTAAACATGTAAGAAAGTTGAAACAATGGAATAAAGTAGTATTATGTATATCAAACCCAGCCTTGGCTTTAGTTCCCTGCTGTTAACACTCTGTTCTCTGTGAAAGTTCCTCTGGGCTCCGATCACCTTATGAAGGAACTCATGAAGGACTTACAAGTTGACTATTTAAAATCCCAAACTCAAAGCTGTTTGCTTTCTGTCTTAAGTGTTTGTATGCTGGTTCCTAACATTGCACAACCTTTAAAGCAGATTGAAATACATCTTGAAACATTCCTCTGGCTAAGCTGAGCTGTTGCTGGCAATTAGCCCTGACCTATTATGGAAAAATGAGTAGCTCTCCTTCTGTGGACCTCATATTCCTCCATGTCTATGGGAATGGGCCTGTCGCCTTCTTTTGAAAAGTTGCTGTTTATTTCCAAAGATTATTTTGGGCTGCTCCAGAAGGTTTTGTAAGCCTGTTTCTTCTCTCAAACAAGACTTGGATTTGTTTAGTTCTGTGATTATCTGTATCGTTTCCTGCTCAGTTAGGTTCTCAGTGTGCAAGACTTAGTCAAGGAACAGTGAAATATCTCATCTCTCCCAGCTCACGCGGCTGGTGCCATACTGATAACGTAGTTCTACGGCTGTGCTCCAAAGCTGGGCGCTTCCTGCCTCTGGTTTTGTTGGCAGTCCTGGCAACAGGTTTCTGTGTGACCTCCAGAAATTCAAGAAAGGCTCTAGAAAATCCTTGAAGTTGGACAAACCTTTTATTAAAAACAAGAAACACGTCTTGAAGGCAGTAGAATATCTATTTAGCATAGTACTGTAACTACAAACATGTAGAAATACACAAGCTAACTCATTTGTATCGGTAGTGCCTTAGTCGAACCCTGCTTGTAAAACCTCAACAGAGTTGACGCGCATCAACTCGAAGCTTTACTGCCTGCAAGCCGGAGGCCAGGCCGGGAGGCTCCCTTTCTGCAGAGGCTGCAGCACAAGGTTACGCACCAGCCGCTGGCCCCTTGCCCCACAGGGCAGAGTTAGCAATACATCCCTCTCGACCATCGTGCTGAGCTTGTTGAGTTATCAAGTGGGAGTGAAGATTTCTCTTTTCCTTAGGCAGACTTTGAAGGGAGAGAATACAGCAGAAGTCCACTGCGAAGTCCACTGCCCTGCACACAAATCCTAGTTTCCTATACTCATCACTTTTTTTTTTTTTCTTCCTTAACCATCAACATAACGTTGGTGGAAGAGCACTAATTTGCTTGTCAGGAGCCTGAATTTCACTTTCTCTAAAATCAGATTTCAACCTGTTGTCTGTAAACCCGAGTCTCCTACTTTCCTGGAAAGTGTCAAATTAAACATCTTCAGCAGAGTTAAATACTGCATTTCCTATTGCTGCTTTCAAGGTGATGGGATTCGACCCAGTGGTCAGTCATGCGAATTTTTAAGTTTAGTGTTTCATTTTTCAAAAGTGCTTTCTAAACTCATAATGTATTTATTTTTTTTAAGGGAGGTTTGTTATTGTTTTACTAATGCTATCTGAGGATTCCAGCTGGTGCTGACTTCTCTTCCAAAAATGATAAAGGCAGACGTTTCGATGGATAAAAAAAAAAAAAAAAGTCCAGTAGAAATTTCAGTCACTCAATCTGTCACTTTTAATTTTGAATCTGTATAAAGTTCCATGATGTTGTATGAAAATCTGATTAAGGAATGGGACTTTTAAAGCTGGCATCTCTTACACAAAAATGTTTTAAGAGTATGTTATCCCAGTTTCATGTGCCTAAAGTTCTTCATGAGGTATAAAGTTGCTAGTAATAAGATCACATAATGCTAACCAAATAAATCGATTTGATCGCATCATTACTGATATTATAGGTAATAAGGTTGCTAAAGCTTTAGGTTCCTTAAAAAAAAAAAAAGGGGGGGGGGGAAGCTAACAGCTACTTATATGTAAAATAGTAAATAAAAAGGTTAAAGTGAAGAGAGACATCTAATAGGTAAGCAAAACAAACATGCATGGAGTTCCTTTGTGCCGTTAGGTTTCTCTGGAATACTTCTGCTTGTAGGAGGCAAGGTAAAGGTCAACTGTGTTACTGTGTTTAGAAACTCATGTCTCCAGCCTAAGGAAAAGGAAAAAAAAATAAATCCTGTAATGGCAGAAAAAATGCTACCAGAAAAGTAATTTTTTCTTCTCCAACTACTATTTGCTTCCTTCTTTTCTGGAATAGCTGAGTGCATTCCTCTTCAAAATAGTCTTTAAAGGGAAAAACAACTGTAGTAATGAAAAGCACAAGGCTGTCTTTTAAATGTTTAATTACTGTTTTTCTTATAGGAAGATTTTTTTTTCCACTTACAAACCCATCTTGTGATCATACTTGGTAAAGCATGAGGTCTCACACTAGGCTTATTTTTATGCAAAATCTATGTGCATCCTTTGTTGAAAAGTTGTGTTCTGCTTTACTGAGCCACCTTTCCCAGGTACATTTTATGAAGACTTTTTAAAATAGCATTTATTTCATTTTTACAAATATTTTTATGTTATTAGTGTTTGCCAACTGAATATCTGTAGTGATGCTCAGTTTTTATCCTTTCCAAAATTAATAAAAATGTCTTTTTTTTTTTTTTTTTTTTTTAGTAAAATAACTTACTAGTCAATATTAGCAATGGGCTATTGAGAAAAAGTGGGTCGATATAACAATTTGCAATTTCATTAGCTTCTTATCCTGTGTATGACAAATGGAGCTTAAATATAAACAACAGATAGTTGCTGCAACAGGGTATCAAGTTGCTGGGAAATGCATCAGGGTTTCTGCTCTCCCAAAGCTGGTTTTCAGAATGGAAGTGTTCCATCTTTCCGTATGGCAGCGGTAGCCCAGCAAATAACCATATGGATTGTTTTGTGCTGCTGCTGAAGTGTTGAGGCTCTGTACGCCAACGTCCGAGCTGTTGCAAACGTGCCTTAACCAGAGGTCTGGCTCAGTCCTGGAGCTGACCCTGCCAAGGGGACGTGCCAGAGGTTCATCAGGCCATGGGTGCCGGGGGGAGGCCAATCAGCGGAGGTGGCAGTAGCCTCCTCAGCTAGCCTCTAGGATCGGTTCATCTGCAGGGCTTTCAGTTCTGCTGTCACCTGAAGGATCGGTTTAAGCCTTTGACTTACTGCCCCCTGTACCCTTGCCCTTTCTCTTTGGGCTGTTTTAAGTGCAGGGTCTACATCGTTCAACAAATTCACTGAATTAGGTAAAATATTTTGTGTGTCACTTGACTGGCGAAACCTGGCATCGCTTTGTTATCTAGGTGATGATTAATTTTTAGGCCTTTCCAGAAAAGGAAGCATCTCGGAGGTAGCATTTTCTTGTCGCTTGCAGATTGTCTGGAATGTTGCTTAAAGATGGCATTTTCCAAAGACTGCATGATTTTTGCTAAACCAAATACCAAGTTAAAGTAAAATCTGTTTTTTTTTTTTTTTTTTTTTCCCAATTATCCTATACGTGTTTATTTTTTTTTAGTTGATACTGAATTCATATGTAGATCTCTGCAGTCATTAAGCGTTTTTAATTGTTAACAATGGACTATGTCATTATTGTAGATCAGTGGGATGAAAGCGATTCAGAAGGATATTTAAGGTAGCTTCCTACTCACAGATTTTTCTAGTCAAGCTTAAATGACATGACTCCTTTCTCCATCTGATGTTAGGAAAATCCTTCCAGAAAATATGATGTGAGCTCAACAAGCTTTAAGTGCTAAAGGAACAGTACGTGAGTGAAGGAGAAGCTGTTAATGGCTCAGTTCCTCAGCACAACCTCAAGAAAACATCAACAAAATCTAATCTCCCTTTAACATCCATGATTTCTGTGGACTTTTCCTTTGTCTGTACTGTGTAAAAAGTACTGTGAAAGTACTGTGAAGGATAGGTCGAATATAAGGAAACGTTAGTGCTGTCAGCTGTGCTGACAGGAGGCTGGGAAAAGCAATTTCAGGCAGTAAAAATGCCTGGAGATTTTGGGATTTTATCACAGTCTTATGCTGACTCCTGCCAAACATAACCCTCTTGAGAAGAAGGTGATAGAAGTGCTACAGGCTTTTCATTTTACTCTTAATCACCCTGTGACTCGATTTGAGCAAAACGAAGGCGATTCTGATTGAAATGCAGCTTCTATAAATGCAGTCATTACCAGGCAAAAAAGTTGTACGTTTTGTATATGATATTCACTCAGGCCTCAAAGCTTGTAATCTAAATTTTACAATCAGCAATATCAGAAAAAGTGACAAAACACAAAGTTTTTTGTGAAGAGGAAGCTCAGAGATGTCAGCATTAATCACATGAGGGTGTTTCTGTATCTTGGTGATACTGCTTTTTCGTTCTTTGTTTTCTTTAACTGAAATGCATATGCCTGTTGGCTTGTTTCTCTTCTTTTGTAAATTATTTGAATAAGCACAAATTCTTTTCATCATGGAAGAGGTCTGTTTTATGAAATATTTTCGTGAAAAATTGGATAGTGCCTTGGGGAAGTATGATCGAGTGCTCCTTGGGAGAAAGTGCAGAGCATACAAGTGCTTTGAATTTCATACACTTCAGTTAGGGAAGTCTTCAGATGTCTGTATGCGGTGAAGGTTTCTGGTCCTTGAATGTGTCTCTCAAGTGGTATTTATGCTTGTGCATGTATTATTTAAAAGCTGTTCTTGCGTGACATTTGAATTTATAATTGCAAATGGACAAGTGGTATTTCCAGAGACCAGGCAGACTTGTTCTGACCTATGAAAGACGCCTGCTGAACCCACAGGCTGTTAAGGCTCCCGGAGTGATGGCAGCACACAGGTTCTCGTGAGCTGTGCTGTTGTGGGGGGGACAAGGCCGGGATGTGTGGACTGAGGCAGGAGAGCTGCTGGATGAGCCTCTCCGTGGCTCTGGGGCACGGCAGCGGGTGACCTCTGGCTGAGTACTTTATATTAATGCCGTTGTGTTACTGTATGTCTGTGCTCACATCTGTGCTTAAACGCCAGCTGTCAAATACAAGGCGTTTGTGTCATTTTGGAAGATGCATTCTCTCCTCTTTCCTGCTGAGATTCCTGTAGATCCCTTTCAGTACCACGTGCCATTTAAACCTCTGATTCACACTCACTGACTAAACCGGCCGTGGTTTAAATGGTTCCAGTTGCAGCAGCAGAGGCAGCAGAACGAAACACGCCTGTGCCTCACCTCCTTTTACCTTGGCTCTCCCAGGTCAGGCTGGCAGCTCCGAGCAGTGCCACGTTTCAGGGGCAGGGCTGTGACATCCAGCGCGATGGTGTGGCCGCCAAGCCCTCGTGTGCTCTCGTACCCACGCTGAGTGGGGTTCAGCAGCCAGAAAATGGCTTTGGGAGACAGCTGAAGGCAGCAGTGCCTTAAAGGGCTTCTACAAGGTTTTTGCAGGGTTTAGAATAGTAAGGAAATTAGTAGAAAGTTATTGAAAAAAGGGGAAAAAGAGAGCTTCGTATGCTGTGAGTAATGAATTACTGGGTCAGGAACTGATGGATCTCTTTTTAACCTGTGCCCTCACAAGGTAAACAGGATCTTCATCAAAGAGTTTCAGTATAACCGGGTGGATTGTGGACACTCCAGTTTTTGTAATGATTATTGTGCAACTATACGTCCTTAAGGCTTGTAAACAGTCATATAATGGCAAGGTTCCAGTGGCAGCTTTTTCTTCATTTCAAGGGCTTTGGGGATCACTTTGTGGCTAGAGTCAGATGAGCACCAAGCATATGCTAAAACAACCAAAGCCAAAACAGTCAACACTGGCTATTGGTCAAAGACCTTTATCCAAAACTGCTTTCTCCATAATACTGGCTACTTAATGTTTTCCAGGCCACACTTTATATTGGCGTATGAAGATGACGTAAAACACTAAGAAATCTAATAAATATAATTACATAATATCATAATAAAATTAGTTTTAAGATTTTTAATTTTTCAACTCAGGACTTTAGGAGACCATATTTTCTGATATTCAGTATCTTGGGATCCAATTAATTATTTTCCTTTGCTGGCTGTGCTTTACGTTGACCTCTGGCATGTGTTGTTTTTTTTTAATTCAATCTTAAATTTGAATTTGAATTTTAAATTCAATTTTGCTGTTACTTAGATATGTTCTTCACTTGAGTCATGTAAAAGCCTTTATGAGAATATTAGAAAGATCTCGTCCTTCACGGGAACACTATTGAGCCTTAAATCTATTTAGGATGTATTCCATTGTACCTAAAAGGAGCTGCTGTTGTACCTTTTTTACCAGATTTCAGGTGTCTTGGCAATAAGCCTCAGCTCCAGGTGCCAAGTTCTCCAACTTCTTCTGTTGAGCTAGAATAATGTTTGCCACTGATTTTTTTTTGTAAATGTTACTGACTAAAGAAACTCTGTTCTGGTGGTGAATCAGCATTCTATTCTATAGAAATTTCTATTTCTATGGTATGTATTTCCTTTGATTTTGATGAGAGCATAAGAGGGTTATTGCTTAAGTGCAGCTATAAGTTGCATCCATGTTATCCCTGTGAATTTGTGGCTCCTTTCTTCTGGTTTGCCTTTCTTCTGCCTTGGGAAGCTCATCCGGGGGGAGGGGGGGAAGTGTGTTTGTGATGGTTGGTCGTTGATACAATTGTGCTTTGATGGTCATTTTATTTTATGAATTCACTGCATTAGCGATGCCTGTATTTTAAAAATAAAAGTCATGGCAAAATGCTCTTGTAATGATGGTATTGATTTTGTTTGTGGTCGAAAATAAATTTATAGCAAGACAATTTTCATTGGTAAAAGAAGATTTCAAATGTGATGTAGGTGAGGAACACCTGCTGATAATTTATTTGGGGAAAGATTTGAATTTCAAATGGCAGCTGAGATTCAAGAAAGAAATGTAAATGCTGATCCTGAAGTAAAGCAGCCCTCGTTTTTTCAGCTGGTAATGAAATGAGTTGTGTCTGTCTCCTGTCAGCAAGAGGTTCTGGGTTACCAGAAGTCGTCGTGTGGAATCATTAGTTTAACAAGCAGCAGCCAACCCCAAAGCTGTGGGATAGTAGTAGTTAAAATAAAGAAAACTATTTGAAAGCATCACTACCATCAGTATAGCATGCCTGGGTCTTGAATATTGTGTGCAAGCCTGGGCTGTGGTGTTCCAGATGGAGGAGTGGTGGGGACCTGCTTGGCCCTAAGGCAGGGTGGAGGGGCTGGGGGTTTGGGTGTGGGGTTTGGGTCCAGGGCTTGGGCCCAGGACTTGGTTTGGGGGCTTGGGCCTGGGGTTTGGGCCTGGGACAGGAGAAGGAGGCACAGGGCAGTGAGAGGCATGCACGAGGCCTGAGTGCCCTGGGCAGGAGGGCAGCTCACAGTTGCTCACTGTCTCCCTTCCAGTGGAATAAATGAAGATTGAGGTAGTGGGATGAAAACAAAGCCTGCGGAATGAAACTGGGGGATGCATTGACAAAAGACACTTTTCCATAGCCACTATTGGCACCTGTTGGTGCAGGTGGCATGATGCCAGAGCTGAGGGTCAGCCTGAACTGTCTGCTCCTAATTCCTGCTGTCGCATTGTTGCATCTTTAATACTTTTCTTATACTAACCTTGAATACTCCTTTTCATAGTTTTTCTGTCAGGTAGAGAATGCACAATTTACTGCATCTGTTTTTTATGAATAAAATTGTGAGTGAAACATGGACATCTGTGGCTGTGCATCTTTGTGTGTCTGTGGAACACAGCTGTGAGAATAGAAGTGTCAGGATGATCAAGTGTCCCCGTCGTTTCTGCCTGCTGAAGCAGAATATCTGTTGGAAGAGCACCATCAAAGCAGTAGTTCTGATATCAAGTGATAGGGGGTAAACTTCTCCTTTTTTCCCCCAGTAATCATAGTAGCTAGGAGCCATTTTCAGCAAGTGTTACTGGCAGTCCACAGCAAAAAGGGCTTCTTAGCCCTTTCTAAACATCTTTTTTGTTGTTTGTTTTAAAATATAGAGTTGACTGAAGTTAACAGGGAAACTAAGAAGGTCCCACAGTGAACAAGGCAAGTGCCTTGATGAGCCATAGTAAGGATGGAGTATGACTGTGTTGTTCAACTAGTAATTAGCAGCATGTCATTTATTTTCAGAAACAACGCATCATCCATTCAGAAATAAAACCAAAATTCAAACCAGAATTCTGTGAAACTGGGGCTGATATATTTATGGAGCTGGAAGCAGCATCTAGTTTGCTCTGCCCGTCAGTGTATCTCCGTAACTGTATGTTCTCACCAGCTTTTAGTAGAGGAGAGCTATTTCATCCCACTCCTTTCATTCTGCAATTAGATAAGTTAAATATGGCTTGTCCCTAATAACAAGTTCTCATTTTCTTTTAAAACCAGCATCAGTAGTGGTGTTCTGTGAATAAAATGTGATGTTTGATGTACGTTCAGGTTCTTTCCCCACTTAGATGCCTCATATAAACATGAGTGCCTTGTCTGGTTTGTGTTCTTACAGAATTTAAGCAGGCTTGCAGAAACCAGCAAGACGGTGGGAACTTTGTTTTCTTCTGTATGAAGTGTTTTTCAAATAATAACAGATATACTTGTGCAGTTGACCTTGAAATTTCAGGCAGATATTTGGTTTATACTATAGCTTTGTGTTTGGGAAACATTCTTGTTACTACTCATTTAAAATACTGAGAAATTAAGGTATAGGTACTAACAAGCATTTCAAACATGCCTCCCAACAGTATTTACATTCATGCACAGAAAAATTTCGGTCTAGATGTCAGCAGAACTTTACAATATTTTCAGCAAGATGCCTTTTTGTAGCTTTTACATGTGGCAGCTTGTTCCAATGATTAATTGTAGGTAATTTGGTTCAACACTTAATCCTTTCTTCAAGTAAAATTCCCATTGACTTTTGGAGAAATCTTGAATTTTAAGGAACCTTGGCTCAGTTCTCTACATTCAGTCTACCAGTGATATGGAAAGCCTTAAACTTGTGATTTTTAGGCAAGTGCATGACATGACTCATGATTGGCTCCATTGCAGTAGGAGGGAATGCATCAGCAGCATTACTAATGAGAACAGAAGTCTCACAGAAAAAAGTGTGCATCTGTGTGTGTGTGTATGCTAAACTGAAAATAAAGTTCACTTATGTCCAAAAAAAAATCACATTTTTCATCTCCGTTAAGAAAAACTGCTAAAATGCTAGACCATAAAAGAAAAAAAAAAAAAAGGAGCGAATGTTTCAGTCTGGTTTGCTACATTGCACTTCATATTTTCAGTCCATTTCCAGAACAAGCAAATTGACCAGCAGGATTGCAAAACAATATTAATTTTCCATGTATGTAAACATGCTAATAATTTAAGGGTATTAAACTATATTTTATAAGATTAGTAAAAAAAAAATGCAGATATAGTTCGTTTTGGTAAACACATGATGGTTTAAAAAGTATAACTGCAGAATATTGTTTTGGAATGACTGTGTCTGAATTCCAAAGTTTAGCTAAATTTTGTTGTAGTTTCTTTGTTGAGCCCTCCCAACCCAATCTATTCTGAAAAACGTATTGCATTGCTCTTATTTTGTAGTTTAATAGGCATATTGACAGCTTTTCTTTAAGTGAAATAATGCCATATGAACATAAAAGGCTTTAAGTATTTTATAATAAATTAATTCATTCAAGATCAAGTCTTATTTTTTATTATTGCCATCTGATACTGTCCATTTTACTTGGCAGAATACTTGAACATTCAAAAATAGTGTTGAAACCTCAAATCCTCTAGGAAATATATATACATTTTTAAATCAAAAACACAGTTTTCTGTTTATGATTTAGACTGTGATCCTCACAAAACAATCTTATTTAATTGTTTACTGTTGTGTAGAATTTTTGTTAGATATTTAACATGGTTCCTTGACCACTGCTACAAGGAGCTTTTTCTCTGTGAGAGTTTTCAACATAACAGAAAATTGTTGGTCTTTCCTCAGTTTATTATTTGTGCCTTCCTTATTGTACACAGGAAAATAATCTCATGCATATAAATCAAGTTCAGGTCATATCTTTTGCTGTTACAGCTGGACAAAATGTTTCATCTCGGTTCAGTCTTGTCATCTCTTTCTGGGTCTTTGCAGCAGCATCCCTAGCTGTATTTGAGTGGGCCTGCTTTCTTATTAACCGTTTTCCTTTAAAATTAGGGCAATATTTGCATACATTGTGTTACATTTGTATTTAATTGTTCTTAAAATTTCATTGATTCGGATAGATTTAGAGCCTGAATTTAGAATTTGGTGCCAGTAAATTTGTATCCTGTCTTGTTCACTGCCACAATCTCTTACAAGTGGTTTGGAAGATTGGTAACTTGGATCCTCATCAACCATGTAGTTATAGGTTGTAAAACAGGCAGCCTTTGATTAACACTCATTTTATTAGTAGTAAGGTCATTCACAAGACATAAAATGGTGTGTAGGAATAGACACAAACCCATTCTGAGGTCTCTTTGACCTTGTGTTCTGCAATTCTGGCTCTAAAGATACCAAACCTAAAACCCACCTCAAACTCACAAAATGAATTCCGGAAGCCAGGACCTAGTCAGGCCACGTAGGCCTGCAAGCAGACTTATGTCAGCCTCGTGCGAGCACATGCGTTGAATTTCATACACACAAGGCAGAAGCTACATGTGTTATGTTCCAGATGTGTTTTTGTGCTCCAATGACTGACTTCCTTTAAAAACTCTTAAAACTTTTCCTGTATCAGAGAACGGGCCAGGTGACGCTGGAATTCTGATGAAAATTATTATTATTATTATTATTGTTATTATTATTATTATTATTATTGGTGTGAGCAAAGAATTGTGTGTAGGTTTGCTGTTAGGGCTTATGTAAAATGTGAGGCTGGAGGAGGACATCCTTCCCTCCTGGCCTGCCACACGCAGAGATCCCATCTGGGGCATGGGATGAACTCCAGATAGGGCTTGGAATGCATCCAGGAGATGGTACAGAAACCTTGAAGCAAGCACAACAAAACAGAACCAAGCAAAGCTTTTCGGAGATGTAAGGGTTTTTTCATGTGCGGGAGGCTACAAAGTGTTAATTCCCTCTGGCCAGTGTGGGAAGTTTGGGAAAGGGGTAAGTTTTAGGGGTTTCAAGAATGTTTTGGCTGAAACCTTATGCCTTGTTTTGGAGGGTGCTTCTTCTTGTGGTACTGTCAAATACAGGCTTCTGGAGCAATGCTCTTTTTATTCTCTAGATTAGTTAATTTATTTCTCGCAGTAGGACTGAGCATGAGAGAAAAGAGAAGCCTGCACAGCCATCCTTACCTATCCTAGATTATATTTCTAACATTTTGGTATTTGTTTCTATGAAAAGTCATTTTCTCAGACCTCTGAAGTAAAATCTTCCTTAGAAAATCAAAAACTATTTTTCTGTTCTTTTTTTTTTCTTTCTTTTTTTTTTTTTTTTTTTTTTTTTTTTCCTTTGGATGGCTTTAAATTGCTGTTTTTTCTTATTGTTATACATCATTTTTTGATTTCAAAACATACCCATAAGTCCAAATTTGATCTGATCTGGGGCATTCACAGTCTCTTAGTTTATATTCAGCTTCTATTACCTAAACTTTAAGTAATAATATTTTAATTCTGTCATCAGGTATAATCTATCCAGTAATAATTCTGTTTAAAACAAAACAGAAACTAATTTATTCAGATCATGCAAGTACTAATTTTGTACTTTCAGACCATGCATGTTTCTCTTGCCAAGGT